CTCAGAAGATCACATTCCTGGGGCTGGGTGCAGTGGCTAACGCCTGTAATCCCAGCACTTTGGGAGGCCAAGGTAGGCAGATCACCTGAGGTTGGGAGTTTGAGACCAGCCTGGCCAACATGGTGAAACCCCGTCTCTACTAAAAGTACAAAAATTAGCTGGCCGTGGTGGCGTGTGCCTGTAATCCCAGCTACTCGGGAGGCTGAGGCAGGAGAATTGCTTGAACCCTAGAGGTGGAGGTTGCAGTGAGCCAAGATCGTGCCACTTCACTCCAGCCTAGGTGACAGAGTGAGACTCCATCTCAAAAAAAAAAAAAAAAAAAAAAGAAGAAGAAGAAAATCACGTTACTGGACTTAAGGCCCACCTTAATCCGTCATGACCTCATCTTAATGAATTACATCTACAAAGATCCTGTTTCCAGATGAGATCGCATGCTGGGGTTCTAGGTAGACACAGGCTTTAGGGACAGTAGTCCACCTGGTGCAGGAGCTTTGTGAGTATTTGTGATGGAGCCGACAGAAATGTGCTGCCGCATCAAAACCTACTAGAAAAATGTCGTGCCTTCACACGGGGTCCTACACTGGTCCCCCAGTCCGCTGCTGTGCCCCAAGAACCTGAGCTGTGTCTCTGACCCCATCACTTCCCCAGAGGCCACCCTTGAGGCCCATGTGTGCTGCTGCCCTCACCAGGGGCATCTTCAGCCAGTTCCTGGTCACAGAGAAGCAGGAAATTGATTCCTGGTGTTCGGGGGATCAACAGGTCGTTAAGGCAGCCTGCGACATCTGGTTTGGATGCTGCAGAAATGCCCTAAGTGCTTCCACATCCGATGGGGCCTGGGCTGCCAGGAGACCAGGGCTGGTGGCCAGAGAGAGTCCCCAATATCTAAGTCTGGGTCCTCAGACCTGGAGACATCACCCCACATAAAACCTTCAAGGGCCTCCTTCCCCTCAGGTGAAGATTGAACACCTCAGCCTGGCCCATGAGGCCCTGCAGGCTCCGGCCTAGCCCCCGATGGGCCAGCAGCTTTTCTGCTCTTGCCATGGGGCACCTTGAGCATCTGTCACTGCCTCAAATGCATGCTGAGGTCTTGCCTCAGCAGTTGAGGGTTCCTGCCCACCCTTGATCTCAGCCCAAATGTATCCTCTGCCAGGGCCAGGCTAGGTCACCTGTGAGCCGCCCTCCAGGTACCCACTCCTCAGTTTGCAATGGCACGTTATTGGTGATGACCACATTGTACCCCCCACCCCGAGGGACATCCCTGTGTGAGGGTTCCTGGTGCTGGCTGGCTTGGACCTGGGCTCCTGCCTGACTCCGCCTCTCACCTTTTCTGTGACATCAGGCAAATCTCCTTTTGTTGAGCCTCAGTTTTTCCTGCTGGCAAAATGGGGTATTAATCCTGGCCTGTCTGCCCCACCTGAAAAGATGGTGATGAGGCTCAAAGTCATCTCCTTGTACTCAAGCATTTAGCAGATAATTGTGGAGCACAATTATCCCCCTGTGAAGGGTTTGTCAGGTACCGACAAAATAGGCAAAAGTTTCTGTCCTCGTGGTTAACGTCCTGGGGAGGGAAGGACAGGCCATCAACAACCACGTAAGCGGTGATGGTAAGTGCTGAGAGACGTAATAATGGTAGAGCAGGTAAGATGGCCAGGGTGGGATCGCAGGTGGCTGCTTCAGGCAGGGATTGGGGGTCTCCAGGGAAGGTACTAAGTGGGTCGTCCCCTGCAGGGGGTGCTCTTGGCAGCCTGCCTGCGTAACCACCTTGGGAAATAACATCAAAAGGCTGCAGGTGCAGCGCTCCAGGCAGGGGAACCAGCAAGGACAAAGTCCCGGAGGCAGGAAGGTCGAGGCCGGCAGAGCAGGCAGACCACTGTGGGCACAGATGCCGGGCAGGGGCTGGTGGCGAGGCGCCAATGCCCTACTGAGTGCTGGCCCACTGCCCTTGCCAGACGTGAGCATCCCAACTCTGCCCGGGTGTCGCCTGCCACCAGCTTTGTGCAGGGCAGCGCTGAGGAAGGCTGCTTTCTCCTCCGGCCCCAAGCCCCCTCCTGGGGAGGACAAATTCATCGTCACTATCCGCCCTAGCTGAGCAGTCAGGTCTGCCCCTCCCAGACAAAGGAAAGAGCCCTGGCTGCTGCCTAGCCTCCGGGCCCCTCTGAGGCGTGGAAGAATTAATCAGGTTGGAAGCCGCTGCCAAATGTACCCACGGGCTGAAAAGACCCGCCACAGTACAAACAAACCCAATCTCTTGCTCTGGGCAGGCGCAACCTTGGAAATAAAGACGCGCTTAAACCTCTCCTCTCCCAAGAGGGCCCCTGGCCAACACCCAACTATCTTCCTACCATTAGCCAAGGAACATTTGGAGGTCGGGTTCTTACTGACACCCATGGAAGCCAGGCTGAATGTAGATCCCACCCTGGAGAAGTCCCCCCACTCCCCTGCCGCTGACCAGGGTCTCCATCAAGGTGCTTACTTCCAGGCAAGAGCTCTGAGGAAGACCTGAGGGTTGGCTGTGGGGCCAGCAGAGCAAGGGTCTGTCCCTCCACCAGCAGGAAGAAGGGAAGTGGCATTGGGTCTGGTGCCTACGACACTGGGAAAGGTCTGCAGAGTGCGCAGTCAGAGGGGCTAGCTTGGTTGAACTTCCAGGCCTGCTGTGTACCAGGTGGAGGACATTGAACAGCCCATCTCAACTTTCTGGGCTTTGGTTTCCCCATCTGTAAAATGGGCTCCCACCTGCCTCACTGCATTTCCTGGACAGTCAGATGAAACCTAGCAACCTGGTCCAGGGAAGGGACTCCACACCTTCAGGAAGATGTAACTGGTCCCCAGAGCAGGTATCTGTCTGTCACAGTGTGTGGGGACTGTCAGGACTTTATGAAGAAAATTAAAAGTGTTTTGCAGCCAGGCATGGTGGCTTACACCTGTAATCCCAGCACTTTGGGAGGCCGAGGCAGGTGGATCACCTGAGATCAGGAGTTTGAGACCAGCCTGGCCAACACGGTGAAACCCTGTCTCTACTAAAAATACACAAAATTAGCTGGGCGTGGTGGCGGGCACCTATAATTCCAGCTACTTGGGAGGCTGAGGCAGGAGAATGGCTTGAACTTGGGAGGAGGAGGTTGCAGTGAACTGAGATCGCTTGATTGCACTCCAGCCTAGGCAACATGAGTGAAACTCCGTCTCAAAAAAAAAAAAAAAAAAAAAAAAAGAGAAAAATGTGTTTTGCAGATTCTTGCTCTGGAATAATAATTATGTATATGTTTTATTAGGCCGTTAACTAAAATATCTATATAAATATTCTATCCTGTCATATGTGATGCATAGCTACATACACTAAGATATAAAAATAAATTGTGGGGTTCTGGATCCCCTCTCCACCTACAGACTGGGGAACTCCTTAGCTAAGCTAAAATTACCCCTGGATCAAAACTGGGGCCGCATTGTTCTCTGTCCTGATCAGTTCCCTGCTGGAATCGTTGCTTCCTCTGCCAGGATCCTGGCTTTTCCTACCAGAGAATGTTGAGGTTCTCTGTCAGTTTCGTTGTGTGTCTTCACCAACCACATTTCCGGGAGACTTGCCACTCCTAAGGGAGTCTGTAAAACACCTGTCCCCAGACCTAAGTCCCTGGGAACGACCTTGTGTCTCTGCATCGGGACACCTCTGCTGCTCCATCAGCCACCCTTTGAGGTCCGTGCTAGAGCTCTGAGCGGGTTTTACAAACTTAAGCATTTGGTGTAAAGAATAATTTCCAGGCCAGTCTGCACTGAAAGCAATTCTTCCAATGCACAGAAGTCTTGAACACTAATACCCAATACCCAATCCTCAAATCAAATGTTAGTGGCTGTATCAGTTAGTTTTCGCTGTGTGAGAAACCACCCCAAATCTCTGTGGCTTAAAATGAGTGATTTCTTGAGCTCCTGATTCTGTGGGCTGCCTGAGCCATTTGGGGGCCTGGCTGGGCTGAACTCTTATCTGCAGGGTAGTATGCTCTGTGGTCAGCTGGAAGGTTGGTTGGTGATGAAATGATCTTGGGTGGGTTCACTTGTTTGTCTGGTGTCCGGCAGACGGTGGCCTGGGGCCTCAGTTTCCCCTTGTGGCCTGTGCAGGAGACTGCCTGGGGCTCACTGACTTGGCAGCCTCAATGTTCCCAGTGTACTGAGTGGATGAACCCCAACACACTGGGGCTTTCCAGGCCTCTGTCTGCATCACACCAAAGCTAGTCACATGGGCAGGCACAGGGTCAAGTGTGGGAGGGGACAGCACAGGCCAAGGAGAGAAGGAGGGAGGGCTGAGGCCTTTTTTAGTCTATGGATATTATTGCTTCTTTAATGAAGATATGGTTGGGGGAGGTAGGGAAGCGGGAAGGGAACAGTTGTCATAAGTGGCCGTGGGCTCACTATCTTTGCTGCTTGCTGGTGTTGGGGGGCACATGCTAGCACCAGCCAAAGTGCCATGAAAATCCACCAATTCTACCCCAAGGGGTGTCCAGCACTTGGTGACAAGGCTGCACTGCACAGTGGGGGCCAAAGCAGGTGAAGAGAAGCTGAAGGAGAAATAGGAAGGAGAAGCTGGAGGGTGGGGTCCCAGAATGCCAGAGACCAGCGAGACCTTGAAACCCAGGATGCAGCCCACAGCCTCTTCACAATGGGGAGCTGAGTCACAGACGCCTTCAGGGGAAGCATCTGCGGCCCAACCAGGGCAGCCAAGGGGATGTGGGAGGGTGGGCTCTGTCCTCTGGCTGGCTTTCACTTTCTGTGACCTCAGGCAGGACCCTTGACGCCTCGGGGCTTGGTGGCCTTGTCTGTAAGGTGGGTCTGTTTGCTGTCTTTCCATCCTGGGGTTGTGGGAAGATTCAATGAGATAATGTGCGTAAAACACTCAAAACCATGGGTGGCTCACAGAGTGCGCACCTGGCACACAACTGCTGTCACCGTCACAACCAAACCACAGGTTCCGTTGCTTGCCACTTGCAGAGTTCAATTAACAAGAGTGAGGTCTGATATAAAGAAAGTGACTTTTTATTCCCAAGCTAGCTTAGGGGAAGAAGAACAGGCTTCCTGCCTTAAGGGTATCGCTTTACTTTTGGAGAAAAAAAGCAGGTGCTTTGTAAAGGGGCCCTAACATGACTGGCACACAGGGAGGACGCGGGCAGTGCGGGGGGTGGGTCCTGTGTGCTAGCTTGGTACTTTATCTACCAGGCGGTGGGAAAACTGGTGACTGCGGGCACCTTCGTGGGCAGGACTAGGTTGTAAAAGCGGCTGAGAACTCTCCAGGTGGGAGAGAGTTTCGTTGCCGATATCCTTTGGGTGGTCGATGGACTGTTATCTTTCGAGGCAACCTCCTGGTGGGTGAGAGTTCCACTCTGGAGCGTCTAAGCACAGAGCTAGAGGGACTCGGCCTGTAGCAAGCATCAGGTGCAGGGGAGCCAAAAGGATATCGTTGCATTTCTAAAGGGATAAGTAGGAAGTAGGGAATAAGGGGAATCAGAGACAGAGAAAGATAATAAAAAATCACAACTCATTCTATTTTTCTTAGAAAAATGGGGATACTTGGTTAGACTGTTATTACTCATACCCAGGCCTCCCTCTCCCAGCTCCATGATTTTTCCTTGGCCCTGTGTGACAGGTCTCTGTCTTCGGAACGTGGAGGGGTTTTCTCGGAAAATCTCTCCCACATCTTTCTTGGGATTCTGAAGTTTCAGTGTTCGAGACAAATTCCTTTGAGATCCAAGTTGTCTCTATCTGCAAATGGGGATTCCACCCAATGAATGTCAGGCCTGCAAAGTACTGCGGGGCTCCTAGCAAGCGCTCCATCCATGCCTGCGGACTCCTAGCAAGCGCTCCATCCATGCCTGCGGGCTCCTAGCAAGCGCTCCATCCATGCCTGCGGGCTCCTAGCAAGCGCTCCATCCATGCCTGCGGGCTCCTAGCAAGCGCTCCATCCATGCCTGCGGGCTCCTAGCAAGCGCTCCATCCATGTCTGCGGGCTCCTAGCAAGCGCTCCATCCATGCCACTGGCATTAGCATCATGGTGAGGTTGGGGGAATCAACAGACATGCAAGTGTGTCTGCCAGGAAGCAGCACCACAGGCCAGGAAGGGGACCCTCTGGGACCAGCCTGCCCCATCCAATTCCAGCTCTGTTGTGTGACCCTGGGGCATCCTTTAGTCTCTCTGTGCCTTAGTGGCTCCCTCTGGAAAGCGAGCATGATAACAGGCTCCACTCAAATGGTGCCTGTGACGATTAAACAAGTTTAACATCCATACAGCACTTTATTCATTCTTTCTCAATTCCCTACTTCACTCCTGCCTGGCAGATTCACTCTCCCCCCTTGCAAGGAACTGCAGCTATTTCACGTCATTTTCCAGGCACTTTGGGTAATGCAAAGTCCAGGCGAGTCTTATATTAAATTTGAGACTGTTAGAATTTGGAGCTCCCTCCTCCGCCAGCTCAGCTCAGCTCAGCTCAGCTCAGCTCCGTGTAGTCCAGGAGTCAGGGGAGGAGGGGTGCATCCAGTTTCTCCTCTGTCCCCTCCCTCTTGCTGGGTGTTGCTCTTGCCCCTCCAGGGCTGGGCCTGCCCGGGGAAGCAAGGAAGGTTTTATTTTGGCAGAGGAGGTGAGGTGCCGGGTCTCCTTGGATAGACACGGCTGTGAGCTGAGGTTGGGCCTCTTGGGTGGTCCTGGAGACCCTCCCCCATGGGTTCCTGATTGGCGATGCCGCCTCTGCTCCAGCTTCCAGGATCCACCCCTTCTTCTGGGTCCAATTTGGCTGAAAGAACAAGTCCTTTTGTCCCACAGTTCCTAGAATAACCCAGAGCTTGTTCCCAGACCTTAGCATAAACCCCAAGATGTCCCCAGGGGATACTTGTCAAGCTCTTGGTTGGCTTGCTGACACCCCTCATCCTTCTCCTTAAGCAGCAACCAGCTCATGTTGCACCCTTGTACCAATTACAGTCACGCGCCTTCCTCCGGGCTGACCTCCTGGCTTGGCTTGGGGGGACGGCTCAGTCCTACCCCCATTCACACCCCAGCCAAGGCTCCACTGACAACCACAGGGGCCGCTGCCTGTGGGGGCTTCTGCTTGAACCCCAGCAGCCATGGGCCCTGGGCTGGCTTCTCCAGCTGACTCAGCAGCCTATCCCCAGTGCCTCCATCCCTGTGCTCCGTCCTCCCACTGTGCTCCCCTCATTTCGGCATTTACCACTCTGACCTGGAGGTCACTCTTCCCATGCGTGTCTTCAAAGGCAGAAACCGTGTCCTGGGCAGGCTCTGGCACAGAGTGGTGGCTCCATAAATAACCAGATGAAACCTCTGTCCCCCGGGGATGGGGGTGTGTGACCTGGGACATGGCAGTCCCAGGGCCTCTTCCCTGCGCCTGAGGCCCAGCCCCTCCTTCCTCAGGCCAGGGTGAGCCCCCCCACAGGGAGATGGGGTCCGGATGATCCCACCACTGCCATCATAAACACGGCAGGATGGGGTGAGCAGGGGCTGAGGGGAGCCGCTCTGATGATTGACAGGGAGCATCCAGGGTGGACAGGATGCCCTGCCTCTGGACCTCGGTGTCCTCATCTGTGAAACGGGGGCAGTGAGCCAGGCCGGTTTAAGTCAGGGGACTCTGGGCTCCCTCACACACCCAGCGCTCCTGTGACGAAGCGCGGCCTGTCTCTTGGCCAGCCCGGAGCGGGCGTCTGGCTCGAGTGCTGACTCAAAGTGCATCAGACAAGGATCCAGAGCGGGATTCCCGGAACGCCCTGGAAAAATGCTGGGTACCGTCCAGGCGCCGCCGCCAACCATATGGAGTCTCTCTCATTCCACAGGGAACCCTTATTACCCTCCGGACTGGTGTTCCTGATCCAGCTGGGCTGGCTCTTCCAGAGGGCTGGGAGCCATCAGGGCTGAGGCTGTGGTAAGCAGAGGGACGTGCCCGGTGGTCATCGTGGCCTCACGTCCTGGCTGTGAGTCTGGGCTGGTCCGAGAGTACCCGGGGCTCGCTCACGCAGGCTGCTGAGCTGGGGGCTCCTCAGCCAGCGACACAGGGCCACGGAGGAAGGAAGGAGCCGGGGTGAGTCACCGTGCCCTGAGGGCCCCAAGTCCTAGGGTCAGGTCCTCCATCAGACACTCGTAGCCAGGTACCAGGGGCTGCAGATGGCCCCATGGTCCCCGCCCTCCCTGTCCCCACAAAGCTGGCAGTCCACACAGCTGGAAGCCGAGTCTCTGGAATCAGGTCACATCTCTCTCACAGCAACACAAGGCAGCTCCTGGTGGGGAGGGGGGAAGCCCATTTTACAGATGAGGACACTGGGGCTTGGCAGGTCTAGGGGACTTACTGCAGACCCCTCAGCCGGGAAGTAGCAGGGCCACTCGCTTCAACTACTGTGGGCTGAGAGGCAGGATAGCCAGCGGCTGCACACTTGAGCTAGGAACCCAGCAGTGCCAGGGGTGATTCCTGGCATCCGCATGTTCTAGGCATTTACCTTGGACAAGTCACAGCCCCTCTGGGCTTCAGATTCTTTATCTGTGAAATGGGTCTGACACAGTATTTGCCACGGGCATTGAGCATGGTATAAGCCAGCCCATGTCAAGGGTTCAGGGTGTGGCCAGCACACAGCCAGCAGGTGCCCATGTTTACTGCTATGGTCAACTGGATGGAGGCTTATGCTGGGTGCTGGGTGCTGGGAAAGAAAGTGAGGGAGACACAAGTCCCTGCCTTTGAGATGTTCTTTCACCTTGTGTGTAAAATAGGGACAAAAATATTTAGCTTCTTTAGGAGGAAAAATAAACCAGATCACTTACAGAAAGCATTTCTTGGAGCCAGGCGCTGCTTGGAGGGCCGTTCAATAGGCATCAGTCGCCTTCTGCATTTCCCTGGGTGTAGCTTTCAGACCGACTGGGTGTAAGCTACTTTGGACTCCACTGAATGGACCCACCAGGGCTCACTCAACTGCTTGTTCCTCTAAATGGTTTTTCAACCAGGATGGTAGGGCTGAAAGCATCTTCGGAGCTAGAGTGTCCCTAGGAATGGTCCCTGGAGGCAGATGCTGGGCCCTGGCTGTAACTAACCTCTGGCTGTAACTAACCTCTGGCTGTAACTAACCCCCGGCTTAACTAACCCCCGGCTGTAAATAACCTCCGGCTGTAACTAACCCCTGGCTGTAACTAACCCCCGGCTGTAACTAACCACCGGCTGTAACTAACCCCCGGCTGTAAATAACCTCCGGCTGTAACTAACCCCCGGCTGTAAATAACCTCCGGCTGTAACAACCCCTGGCTGTAACTAACCCCCGGCTGTAACTAACCACGGGCTGTAACTAACCCCCGGCTGTAAATAACCTCCGGCTGTAACTAACCCCAGGCTGTAACTAACCCCCGGCTGTGCTCCATCAGGGATGGTGGGAGGCATTTTCTTTGAGAGAAACGTTTGGGATCCTCTGGGTGGAGAATCGTCTTTGACAGGCTTGGGGCTGGGAGCCCTGCCTCCTCTAGAACTGAACCCCAGCAGAAGTGCCAGCCAGGGGCCCACGGCGGGTACAGTGCAGGGGGACTCCAGCCTGAGAGGGTCTGCAGTGCAGCTTGTGTTTTGCTCGAGTTGCCATATGCCAAGGCAGCACCGACGGACGGGGCAGCTTCAACAACATAGTCTTCTTCTCACCGCTCAGGAGGCCAAGGTCTCAGCCGGCTGCTTTCTCCTGAGGTCTCTCTTCCTTGGTGCGTAGATGCCAGCTTCTCCCAGTGTCTTTGGCCACCTGATTGTCCCTCTGTGGGTGTCTGTGTCCTAATCTCCTCTTCTTGTAAGGACACCAGTCCTACTGGATTAGGGCCCGCCCCAGTGACCACGTTCTAACTTGATCACCTCTTTAAAGACCCTGTCTCCAGGTCCAGCCACATGTGGAGGTATGGGAGTTAGGAATTCAACACATGAATGTTGGGGGTCATAACCGAGCCCATAGCATGGGTGATTCATCACAGTTCTAGGATTTAAAGAGCCCGAGTTATTTGAGACTCCAGGATCACTACCCCAGTAACCGCTGTGACAGCACCCTTAGCCCTGCCCTCCCTGGGGGAAGCCAGGCCTGGGGGAGACAGTGACTTGTCCTGGCTCTCGCAGTCAGGGCTGAGGCAGGACTGAACCCAGGCCTGGCTCATTCCAGAGCCTGCTGGTGCCAGCCAGGAGCCCAGTGCTGGAAGGAGCTGGGAGGAGACGGAACTTGAGACCTATTTACCTTGGCACCGGCAGTGCCCGCTTGGGCTTGGCACACAGCTGCTGTTCGGAAGTTGTTGGATGAATTCGACAATGACACATTTTGGCACAGTCCTTGCCCTGGGGGCACGCACACCCGTGATGAGAAGGCAGGCTCGCCAGCACACACCCGAACACCAAGGTCACCGAGGCCAGAGCCAGGCCACTTTTCCTTTCTGGTTTGGGCCCTGCCAGCCTCCACACTAGACCAGTGTGGAGCTGACCTTTCCACGTCAGCTCTGCAAAGCCAAAGCCAATTCCTAAGCCCTCAGCTGTCCCAGAACTGAGTCATGACGGAAGCTGGTGGGATTCCTCGGGGGACAGATCTGGCCCCCACATGTCCTTGCGTGCCTCCATCCATGCCATCCGGCTCCAGCCCATACCGCACCACCCAGAACAATGTAGCCAGCACACGTTTCCACTGGAATGAAGCACTGCCCTGGCCCCGACTCTGAATTCCTCACCACTCACGGTCTCCAGCCGGCCGCCAGCTGTAACAGCC